AAAAAAAACAAAAGAACAAATAAAAAGACAAACAAAAGAACAAACAAAAAGACAAATAAAAAATTAAATAAAAAGATAAATAAAAGAATAAATAAAAGGATAAATAAAAAAATAAACAAAAGAGTAGATAAAAAGATGAAAGAACAGGCTAATAAAAAAGCAAAAGAGTAAATAAGAAGATGAATGAGATAAATGAAAGAACAAATAAAAAAACAAGTAAAAAGATGAATAAAAAAATAAATATATAATCAAAAAGGTAAACAAAAAGCAAATAAGAGTAAATGAAAAAGCAAATAAAAGGATAAATAAAAAAAATAAAAAAGTAAATAAAAGAATGAATAAAAAGATGAATAAAAGAGCAGTTAGAATAGTAAACAAAGAGGTGAATGAAAAGACAAATAAAAGGATAAACAAAATAGCAAATAAAAGGGTAAGCAAAAGAATAAATGAAAGGATAAACAACAAGATAGACAAAAGAGTAGATGAAAGGATAAATGAAAGGATAGAAATAATAAATGAAGAGATAGATGAAATAATGAATAAAGAGATAGATGAAATAATAAATGAAGAGATAGATGAAATAATGAATAAAGGGATAGATGAAATGATAAATGAAGGGGTAGATGAAATAATAAATGAAGGGGTAGATGAAATGATGAATAAAGAGGTAGGTAAAAGAAAAAATATTGAAACATATAAGTTAGTTATTTTATTTATTTAAACAAATAATAATAAAATTTTATTAAACACCTGCAAGTGAAACCAACAAAAGTTTATTAACAATAAGAAATGCATCTAAAATTTAGGTAATAATTTAATAGTTTAAATTTAATTAAAATTTTATTTTAAATGCATTATATGATGTTTCTGATAATTAAATTTATTTATTTATTTTGTAGTCTTTTTTAGATAAGTATAATTCTCGACATATTTTTCAAAACAAGACCAATATTTAACAAACAGCGGCACATGAAATCTACCAAACGATCTCTTAAAAGATATAATGATATGAAGTCACAACTAACCAAGCGAAATAAAAAATTTGCAGACAAGTATAATATTGGAGATTTCGTTTTTATTAAAATTCTTGAAATTGACAGAACGCACAGTGATTGAAAAACATTACCATGCAAAATTTCACGGAATTCTTCGATTTTGATTGGCTAAGAGCGACGATCAATAATTTAGGCCAAAATTACTCAAAATTTTACTAATGAAACCACAGC